GGGGCTGCTCTTTGTGTAGCCTATTTCAAATAGTATTTGGTCATCAAGACTTCTGGATTTCTTCTCTGGATGTAAACAAATGGGTCGTGGACTTTAACGAAGGGAACTACAAGATCACCAGGCTTTCTTGTTGTGGTGTACTTGACTTTGACCCTGTCCTGCTTGATAAGGAAGAAGAGGGCGGCGGTAGTCTCACCGTTGGGAAGTACTTCTAACTTCTAACTCAAATAAAAGTTTTTGTAAGTCCAAGCAAGTGTTACCGCTTTTGGTAAACTTTAAAAAATCCTAATTGAATTCGTTGTCAGAAGCCACGCCCCTCTCTGCCTCTTTCTGTTCTGTTTGCCTCGCTCATTATCTGCTCCTGTCTGTCTGTCTGTTTGTTTGTCTGTCTGTCTGTCTGTCTGTCTGTCTGTCTGTCTGTTTGTTTGTTTGTCTGTTTTTTTGTTTGTCTCTCTCATCACCTGCTTCCTCCTCTCCCTTGTTTGTCAATCTGTCTGTCTGTTTGTCTGTCTGTCTGTCTGTCTGTCTGTCTTACTGTCTGTCTGTCTGTCTGTCTGTCTGTCTGTCTGTCTGTCTGTCTGTCTGTTTGTCTATCTCTGTACGTCCGTCCATCCTTTTCCAGTCCCTCTGTCCATAATTTGTCTGTCTGTCTGTCTGTCTGTCTGTCTTGTCCCTCCTGTCTGTCTGTCTGCCCCAGCGTCCTTCTGTCCATTTGTCTGTCTGTCTGTCTGTCTGTCTGTCTGTCTGTCTGTCTGTCTGTCTGTCTGTCTGTCTGTCAGTCTGTCTGTCTGCCCGTCTGCGTGTCTATCAGTCTGTTTCGTCTACTCCCTTCCTCTGGTTCTATAAAACAGAACTGGATTGTTTAATCAGGCTGCCCACTTTGTCCTTGAACCAAAGTCTACTTTTCTGCTGGCTTTCTTTTGTTGGTAAAAACAGCTGCCGACAGACTTGAGAAATACACGTACTTACTTTACTTTTACTTTTTTCTTGATGTTGATATGGATCCCAACTAAAACAAAGCAGAGAATTCAAATACTTGGGCAGCATTTTCACAGAAAATGGAAAACTAGATCGAAAAATAGGTCACTAGATGCCAGAAAGCCATCGCAGTCATCTACCATCTCGGCCCTCTCGTGAAACAGGAATACAACGGCGTAAAATGTTTAACTTTCCTTCTATCTTTTATCAATAGAAAATCTACAAATTTGACCCTGTGGGTGGTTGGCGGGTGCTCTGGTGTGGTTTGCTGCTTCTTTCCTATCAAACATCTATCGTCCTTTTCTCCCCTTCTTTTTTATGTTTGTTACTCTCTTGTAACACCTCTAATCTTCTGGCGCTCATAATAATATGACCTTATAATGCAGTTGCGAGCGCCGTAAAACCTCTACTTAAAAAAGACCCCTGTGTCGATTTTTGGCCAACATCTCCTTTTGTGGATCGCTAGAAGTAACTCATTTGATCAAGTTGCTACTTTATTTGAATCTCCCTCGAATGTGTGGGTGGTTGGCGGGTGCTCTGGGGTGGTTTGCTTGTTTATTCTTTCCTACCAAACATCTATCGTCCTGATCTCTCCTCCTTCTTTTTGTGTTTGTTACTCTCTTGTAACAACTCTAATCTTCGGCACTTATATGACCGTATTGTGTTGCAAGTGCTGTAAAACTCTTACGAAGACTAAAATCTCTCGAATGAACATTTTGTCCTGTCTGTACAATAAAGGGTTAGGAAAATGCTCCAGCATTGTGTCGATTGACAAGAGGTTTGCGTTATGTGTGTGTGTGTGTGTGTGTGTGTGTGTGTGTA